ATGATTCTTTTCAGCTGAGGAGATTCCCAGAGAGGACTGGCAGCTGAGGGCTGTTGGCCGGTGACACTCCCACTCTGGGGTGTCAGTCCGTCTGGGAGGGGAGTCTGGGCAGCTCATCATGGTGTCCACTAACTGTGGGCTGATCAGTGATCGCCGAATGGTGTGACATTCTCCAGATGTGAAGGATGGCCATTTTCTTTTGATCAATCCCGACACTTTGGTTAAGTAGGAAGCTAGGTCATCTATGGACAGAGCAGGTGGGGAGCACGTACTGTGTCTAATGCAGAACAAGAATACTGTCGGGGCAGCCTCACCCGGGCGTGAAGCAGACCCTGCCCTACGGGGGAGGGGGGGCCTGCTGGCAAACTGAGATGGACTCCCAATTAATCATGGAGCTTTTTGTTTGACTATACTTTTCAATGTAACACCTAATTAGAAAACTTAAGTATGTTTGGAACAACGTGGGTATTCCAACCTACTTTTTCAACTGCAATTTTTATGAAATTTAAATACAGATTAAGTATTCCTGATGAAAATTTAGCATCCTAATTGAGAAGTGCTGTAAGTACAAATTATACACTGGATTTCAAAGACTTAGTATGAGAAAAAGAATGTAAAATATACCATTAATGTTAAAACCTGTTGAAATGATAATACTTGGATATATCGAGGTTAAACAAAATATATTAATAAAACCCATTCACCTATTTCTTTTGACTGTTTTTGAAAGGCTCTCAGATCATCTAAAATCACCCAAATAGGATAGAAAGCCCAGAAAAACCCAGGCACTTAAGGTTAATCAATCTATGACAAAGGAGGCAAGAATTCACAATGGAGAAAAGATGGTCTCTTCAATGAGTGATGCTGCAAAAACTGGACAGCTACACTGTAAAAGAATGAAGTTAGAACATTCTCTAAGACCATATACAAAAATAAAATGGATTAAAGACCTACATGTAATACCAGATAATAAAAAACTCCTTCAGGAAAACATAGGCAGAACACTCGTTAACATAAATCATAGCAATATTTTTTCATATCTGTCTCCCAGAGTAATGGAAATAGACACAAAAATAAACAAATGGGACCTAATTAAACGTAAAATCTTTTGCACAGCAAAGGAACCATAAACAGCAAAAAGACAACCTACACAATGGGAGAAAATATTTGCAAATGATGTGACTGATAAGGGATTAATTTCAAAGTGAGCCTCCTTCTTAAAAAAAAATACAAACAGTTCATACAGTTCAACACCAAAAAAAAGAGTGTTTTTAGATGCTCAGGGGACGCGGCTGCTTGGGCAGATCTTCACTGGCATAATTACAGGCTGCGCAGCAGCAAGAGATGAACAGAGCTCTGGGAAAAGTGCTGTGTCTGAGGAATAATACCATTTTTCAGCAAGTCTTTTCCCTCTTAAGGTTCAGAATTTCAGGAGAGAATCCCATCTGTTCTGCAGGTGGCATTCTGTTGAGTACCAGTCGGCACTACAGGTCAAAGCCCACCCATGGCATTGGAAGATACAAGCACCTAGTTAAAGCACAAGAAGAAGGGGAAAGTGGAAGTGATACCCATTCATCTGGGGACAGATTATGAATATGGAGTTTTAAATATTCACCTGACTGCACATGACATGGCCCTGGCAGAGAGTTATGCCCAATATATTCACAACCTCTGCAACCATCTCTCGGTTAAAGTCGAGGAAAGTTATGTGATGCCCACCAAAACTATGGAGGTGTTGCAGCTGCAGGACCAAGGCAGCAAAATGTTCCTGGACTCAGTTCTCAAACCACATGAGTGAGTGGTCCAGATCAGTGGTTTGAGTGCTACATCTGCAGAGATTTTCTTGGAAATAATCCAAAGCAATCTTCCTGAAGGAGTCAAACTGTCAGTGAGGGAGCACACTGAAGAAGACTTCAAGGGAAGATCCAAAGCTCGGCCAGAACTGGAAGAACTGTTAGCCAAGTTGAACTAGCTCATTGCAGACCCTTTCATGCTGGCACTGATGATACTGTGTGCTAAGGGGAAGAGCTTCCTGGGTGGCCAAAGTTAAGCGGGACACCCTGACCCTCGGTATCATTAGTACCGATCTCTTCAGCCAGGAATGCCTCCTCTCTGTGGAGGAGCGCTTGTGAATTGTCAACACTTTCTTTTGCGCTAACCCTAGGTATCCTCCTTCTAATAAAAATCTCCTGATGATGCATGTGTGTGTACATGAGAAGTCCATCCTGTAGAGTATCTTTAAGAGATTCACTTTTTCTCTTTTCTGGTGCTTTAGCACACAAGCATGTTCTCCTTCAGTATTTCTCCACTTAGAGTGAACTCATCCTTTAAATCAATCTGGCATGAAGTCCCTTTAGTGAAGCTGATGATCATAATATAAGTGAATTCTCTGTGGCTAGAAAGCATAGGGAGGGAGAGTTTGGCTTTGTATATAGAAAAACTCTCCAGATAGGATCAGGGTCTGTCCATAAGTGAAAAAATATTCCCTTGTGGGATAGTGAGTGACTTGTCATAAGTATGCAGGTAGATGTTATAACTGCAGATGAGGGTTGCCTGGAATGACTTTAAACAAAGAATTAAAGGTTGATCTTGGTCAGGGGTCAGAAAACTACAACTTATGAGTCAAATCCCACCAACTGCCTATTTGCTTTTTAAAAGTAATTTATTGAGGCAAAATTCACGTCACAGAATTAACCATTTTAAGGTGAACAATACAGTGGTATTTAATGCATTTAGAGTGTCATGCAACCTCTATCTAGTTCCAAAACTCTATTGCCTGCTTTTTATAAATAAAGGTTTATTGGAAAAAAATTTAAAAAAACAAACAACCCAATCAAAAAATGGGCAGAAGATCTAAATAGACATTTCTCCAAAGAAGACATACTGATGGCCAACAGGCACATGGAAAGATGTTCAACATTGCTAATCATTAGAGAAATGCAAATCAAAACCACAGTGAGGTATCACCTCACACCAGTCAGAATGGCCATCATCAAAAGGTCTACAAATAATAAATGCTGGAGAAGCTGTGGAGAAAAGGGAACCCTCCTATACTGTTAGTGGGAATGTAAATTGGTGCAGCCACTATGGTGAACAGTATGGAGGTTCCTTAAAAACTAAAAATACAGTTACCATATGATCCAGCAATCTCACTCCTGGGCATATATTCGGAGAAAACTCTAATTGGAAAAGATACATGCACCCCAATGTTCATAGCAGCACAACAGCTGACATGGAAGCAACCTAGATGTCCATCGATAAATGACTGGATAAAGATGTGATACACACACACACACAATGGAATACTTACTCAGCCGTAAAAAAGAATGAAAGAATGCCATTTGCAACAACATGGATGTACCTAGAGATTATTATACTAAATGAAGTAAGTCAGACAGAGAAAAGCAAATATCATATGATATCACTTATATTTGGAATCTAAAAAAATTATACAAATGAACTTATTTACAAAACAGAAATAGACTCACAGACAGAAAACAAACTTATGGTTACCAAAAAGGAAAGAGAGGGGAGGGACAAATTAGGAGTTTGGGATTAACACATACACAGAACTATATATAAAATAGATAAACAACAAAAACATACTGTATAGCACATGGAACTATACTCAGTATCTTGTAATAACCTGTAATGAAAAAAGATCTGAAAAAGAATAGATATATGTATATGTATAACTGAATCAGTTTGATGTACACCTGAAACTAACACAACATTGTAAATCAACTACATTTCAATATAAAGAAAGTAAGAAAGAAAAAGACAAAAACTTTAAAATCACCCATTTGGCTCACACTACATTTGTTTTGTCTAGTGCTGGGTTAAGAACGAAGCCTTGCAGTTTTTGCAATGGCCACGAGGTGGCACCCTTATCCCAGAACTGTGGGTTTCAGACTAGGAGGCTGGTTGGTGGGATGATTGGTAGAGGTGAAGGCTGGTCTTGCTAGTAAGTGAAAAAGTAACTGAACCAGGTTTGTGCTTGCTACTCCACTTTTATGCTAATCACATCCCACATTCATTTGCATGTAAATGGTTCTGATGTAGATATAAAATACATGTACTTTGCTCTCTGAGGTTGAGTGGTACCCCCTATTCCAAAGCCATAGTGATCCTTAAAACATTAGGCTTTAAATAATATTTTAAATAATTTACTTCATGCCCACCCACTCCTCTTTTCAACACTTCTTTTTCATTTTCCTTTTCTCCCTTTCACTTACTCATTCTCCAAATCAGGTTCAACTATTTTGGGGCTTATTTCTGTGCCTTTAGTAATAAAGCTGTGTGTAACCTTAACTTCAACATATTATGACCCACCATCAGAACGCCTAAAATTGCACCAGGAAGATATTAGGATATTAGGAAGAATATTGAAAGGGAGATACAGAAAGAAGGCCAGTGCCATTCCTTTCCAGATGCCCAGTTAGTGTGGACTGCTGGCTGCCTCCCTCAAGACCAGCCTTGTAGGAACTCTAAAGGGACACATGGAGACATGGGACCTGGGAGAGGAGGATGTGAACCAGAGGTTGTGTGTGACAAATGTGTGATGTAATTGATGGTGGAGGCTGTAGGCTTGGCTGTGGGATAAAACAGGAACTAAACTGTCATAACTCTGTCTGTTTCTCCCCCAGATCCAGTGCTTTGGGTCAATGGATGCCGGCCCCAGGCTCATCTATGACAGCAAGTACAGGTGTACTCGGGATAAATGGGTTGTGCAGAAACCCTCTCTGCAGGTGAGGGACCGAGGAGTACAGGAAGACCACTTCCACAGCCCCACCCTGCCTTCCAATGCCCATCTCCAGGGCTATGGACTGAACAGCCTGGCCAAGGACTCCAGCCTTCCAGAAAGCTCCATGTGCCATGCTGGCTCCAGCAGGTAGGACCTGAGTTCCACCCCCGGGAGAAGTCCTGAGCAGGGAGGATGATATACAAAGATGCAGCTTCCTGAGAAGGCAGGGGTTGCTGGGGTACCTGCAGCCTGGAAAGGGAGCAGTAACACTGACCCCTTGGTGGGTGACAGGGAGGACTGCAGTCCCACATAGTCCAGGCCACACAGGGAGATGTGTACACAGTGTTTCTGTACAGTTGGTTTTATTGGGGACCCTTGGGGTTGGGATGGCCAGAGCCACAGACTCAGTTGTTGGCTAGGATCTCCTGAACCCAGGGGATGAGCACGGTGACACGAGCATACACAGCAGGCGTGGACGTGGAGCAGACGCTGCTGCCCCAGGACACAATGCCCACCAGGGTCCAGCCTCCATCCTCCTGGCAGACCAGGGGACCACCAGAGTCGCCCTGCAGGAGGAGAAAGGACTTGCGTCCAATCCTGAAAGGGGGTGCCAGGACCCGAGTGTGCAGAGGGTGCAAAGGACAAGTGGAGCCCAGTGGCCAGGCACAAGATACTTAGATCTGCTCAAAGGGCAGCCCCAGTTCTGTGGCCTACTCCTGGAGGGCCTGGGACAGGTGGCTTACCCTCTCAGCCTGGATATCGTCTATAAAATGGGCTGAAATCGTCCAGCTCATGGGGTTGGCATGAGATTAAATACCCCTGGGAAGCCCCACACCACATTTGGCCACAGCAAGCCTTCACCAGGGGCATCTGTTAGCACTGGTCCAAGTCTTCCTTGGGGCACCGGGCAGGGAGTGAGCTAAAACAGATCCTAGCAGACAGGAGTGGTCCTCTTGGCCTGACACGGGGCGTGGGGTGGGGTGCGCTCAGTAAGGGTGGACAGGGTGCCCAGGGCTGGGCCGTACCATGCAGGAGGAGACGCCGCTGGCGCCCGCGCAGATCATCACGTCCGTGATCTTGCTGCCCCAGTACTTCTTACAATCTTCATTGGATATGATGGGCAGGGTC